AGGCTCAACTCACGGAATGATCTCTGCTGGGGCTTCCTTGGCTTGGAGCAGCTGCGAGAGGACGTAGCCCAGACCTTCCAGCACAGCCTCATGTGGGGACTGCAATCAGAGAGAGCAAAGCTAATCCCACATGACAGAGCCAGGGGATCCCAGCTGCTGAGAGCAAGATACCTCTTTGGAACATCACAGCGAGCAGCTGAGTGGCACAGCTTAGTACCTACAGTCAACACCTAAAGACCATGAGGAGAGGGCTATTCTGCAGCAGGGCAGGGGAAGAATGTGGCTGAGCTATTTCACCCACCTGGATGCAGGACACCAGCACTGGAATGATGCCCTGAGGCAGAAGCCGCTTCCTCACAGCTTCGCTTTCTACTACCAGGTTCCCCAGCGTGTACAGACACAGCTCCTGAAACACACCAAGAGAGCAGGTCACCCGTGGCAGGGGTTTGGAACAGGATGAGCTTTAAGGTCCCTTCCAAACCAAACCATTCTGCGACACAATTCTATGATTTCCCTGAGACCCTTCTAATTCCACAGTATTTCCCTGGAAAGACTGTCTCTGTGCTACATTACAATGTGCTTATCACCTTGGGGTTGCTCACCAGCTTGTTCCTTAGCTCCAATCCTGTCTGCCTCTCAGAGGAGCACAGTGTGCAATACAGGGTGCACTGCTCACCAGCTATGCCTTTGCCCAGGTCAAACTGCACCGCTTGGAGCCACAGGCACTCTCTGCTCCTCTGACCCAAATTCCTGCTTCTTGCATGCAGGTACCCTGCCAAAGCAGCTGTTCCTGACCCAGCCTGCAGCTGCTCATTCCTTTCACTTTTCCAACCTCTTTTCAAACACAGCTGACTTTCATCTGGTATTTCTGCTTCACCCATGCATAGACACTAGGGTACCTCCTGCCCAGGCCCAGAGGCCAGAACTCACATCTAAGGATGGAGCCCAACTCCCACACCGCAGTCCCCAAATGGAGCTTGGAGCTGGAGAGGAGGAACCATTGCAAATGGGGTAAACACTGGCTTCTGGGCTGTGGCAGAAGGATTTGCCTGGCCTGGATAAGACCTGAGAGCATTTAGGAGCAGCCTGAAGCTACCTGGAACACAATGAAACCAAACTCCTCTTGGTGTTGGGACAGGGCACAGTGAAGAGGGTCTCCGTATGTTCAAGACTTGGCCAGATGCTGGGGTAGCACTGGGGACAAGGGGAAGGTTGGAGCAGAGACTTCCAGGGGCCCCTTCCTGCCAGCACTCCCCTGTGAGCCACGTTAGGCTAAGGCTGGCCAAGGGAGGCCAACACCCAACTGCTATCAAAGGGTTATCAGGAGCCAGCGCCCAGGCAAACACAGATCTCACCGTGAATTCAATGCTGTGTCCAGAGAGGTAGGTGAGGAGGTAGGAGGTCACTGGCAGACATGCCTCAGCCACAGCAGGGTCACTGGAGTGGGACAGCTCGTGGAGGCAGCGGCCTGCCTGCATCTGCACGTCAGCCAGGCTGCTGGTGAAGAGCCCGATGAGTGTCCGGATGCTGCCGTTCAGCCTGGTGGAACACAAAAGGTGCCGTCACCTCCTGCCCTCCCACCCTCAGCCACACACCAGCTCACGCACACAGGGACTGGGGCACAGGGCCACTCTGGACATGCCCAAGATAATAGCCATGCAGGGCCAAGACCCAGGCTGACCTGACAAACTTCTGCTGAGTCTCCTTGTTCCGCAGAGCCCAGCAGAGACGGCCAAGAGATTTTTTCCTGTCCTCAGAGCCCTTCTGCATGCTCCTGAGCAGCTCAAGAACCTGCCCAAGAATGGAAAGACGGATGGGTGAACTCCCAGCAGTGACAGGGTTATGATTTCATCCCATTCATCCTGCGGGCAAAGAAACCCAGGGCAAAAAGAGATGGTCATAAGGAACCTCATATCTCACTGTGGCACTGACTCAGAAAACACTACCCAGCCCACTTCCACCCGGGCTCCTCTGCGTGCCTGGAGGCTGGGAAGACCCCAGGCACCCCCAACACCACGTTCTTCACCTCATTCTCCGAGAGAGGTTCCGGCTCAATCCCTGCTCCATCCCGTGCCCCCTCCTCTGCTGCTGTGTCCTCCCGCAGTAGCCGCTTGCTGACCAGCTGCTCCTGCCGCCGGGCTTTCCTGAGCGCTGTGATTGAAACAGTCCGTGTCACCACCGGCCTAGGTGAAGGCGCTTTCCCATGCCAGCAAAGAGCCTCATTCCTTTTAACGGGGAGACACCGCCAGCTCCTCCTGTGTGAGCCGGGGGGGATGTGAGACAGCGGCTGCATTCAGACCCTGCGCAGTGCAGGGCCGGGCACTGCTCAGCCTGGGAAGCCATGGCTGGGTGAGCCCGGCTGGATGGGGCTTGGAGCAAGCCTCTAGTGGAGGGTGTCCCTGCCTGTGGCAGGGAATTGGGACTGGATGAGCTTTAAGGCCCCTCCCAACACAAACCAGTCTGGGATTCTATGATTGTAAACGGCACAAAAGCAGCAGAGGTGTGAGGAGCAGGGTGGTTTCACATAGGCAGGCTTCAGAAAACCCGAACCGCAGGAGGAAATGGGGAATCCAGGTCACAGACACGCGGGTTTATAGATGAGGCTGTAAAATGCCAAAACGCTACCCCGAGAGGCAGGGACCAGCAACCACCGCCCCCAGTGCACCGCGGGGTGCGCTGGGCGTGGGTCCCGCTGTGGGGCAGCGCTGGCGGCCACGGGGGCTCCCACCCTCGGCGGGGGCACAGACCCGCCCGGACCCACCGCCCCTGGGCCCGGCCCCGTCCCGCCGCGCCGGCGCGTCCCGCACGGGCAGGCCCCGGCCCCATCCGGACCTGCCTCCTGCTCCCGCCGCCGCGCCCGTAGCTCCTCCGCACCGCGGGTGCAGGACCCGGGCCCGCGCTGCCGCCGGCCCCACATGGCGGCGGCGGGAGGAGGAGAAACCGGACTGGGGCGGGGCCCCGGGCCCCCCCACCCCGCCTCCCAGAGCGCCAGGGCCCGCCCTTCCCGAGGCGCTGCTGCGCCCCCCGGCACCGGCTGCTGCAGCCGCCAGGGGGAGCTCGGCAGCGCCGCGGCGGGGCTGGAATGAGATGAGCTCCGAGGCAGGAGCTCTTCCCTGTGAGGGTGCTGAGGCACTGGCGCAGGGTGCCCAGAGAAGCTGTGGCTGCCCCATCCCTGGCAGTGTTCAAGGCCAGGTTGGACACAGGGGCTTGGAGCAAGCTGCTCTAGTGGAAGGTGTCCCTGCCCGTGGCAGGGGTTGGAACTGGGTGAGCTTTGAGGTCCCTTCCAACCCAAACCAGTCTGGGATTCTCTGAAGCCATGTAGCTGCCATGTGCAGGCAAGGTTTCTCCCCCACACGGCTGGGTTGCGTGCTTCTCGAACCCAAAAGAAGCACAGACACTTAACCAGAAACGTCAGGCAATGGTTCTTAGCGTGCTGGGATCTTCCACAGTGGTTACAAGAACAAGAAGTCAGCACCCAAAGGATGGCTCTGCACCCGCATGTTTGTCTGTTTGACCACCAAGGAGGGAAGAGAGCTCAGTTTTACCCAAAAAGGCATTTGGGGGAGTTTTGGCAGCTGGTTCCCAGGAATGAGCAATTAAAAGGGACCAGGCCTGGAGATGCCACCCTCACCCAAAGAACTGAAGCTGCTGTGACTTTTCCACAGTGCACCCAGACCTGCCTTCCCTTCACCCATCCCAGCAGCAGTGCAGAGTGGGACAGGCAGCTCTGGTCCCAGCCCTTGTCACACCGATAGCAGCTCTGGAATGCCTGGGAATGCATCTTCTAGCCATGCAGTTTCATTGCCTTTTGGAAACCCTTTCTGAAACTCAGCATAGGCAGAGGAATCCCCGATAAAGAAGAAATCCCTGACAGACCTTTCCGAGTGCTTGGTGGTCTCTGCTTACTGGAGAACACTGACAGTTTGGTGTAGGCACAGCCACGAGCTGCCAAAGGAGCACAGGGCAAGCGATGTGACTTCATTGGCCAACCTGCTGAAGCCGACCTTGGGTGAAGAAGTGCCCTTCTCAGCACAGGGCTGTGCACAGGGCTTGTGGGAAGTTGTCCCATCCCCATCCCACACAGGACACAGGCGTCTGGGGATGTCTGAATACTGGGTATGGTATTCCCGTACCCTTCTGGGGGTGCTGGTCAACAACAAGCTCCCCATGACCCAGCTTGTGTGTGCTTGAGCCCAGAACCCCACCGTGTGCTGGGCTGCACCCCCAGAGGGTGAGCAGCAGTCGAGGGAGGGGATCCTGCTCCTCTGCTTTGCTCTGGGAAGATCCCCCCTGCAGTCCTGATCCAGCTCTGGGGCAGCAGCACAAGAGGGATGTGGAGCTGCTGGAGTGAGTCCAGAGGAGGCCATAGAGATGCTGTGAGGGCTGGAGCAGCTCTGCTCTGGAGCCAGGCTGAGAGAGCTGGGCTGGTTCAGCCTGGACAAGAGAAGGCTCCTTAAGGGGAGACCTGAGAGCAGCTCCAGTGCCTAAAAGGGGCTACAAGGATGCTGGAGAGGGGCTTTGGACAAGGGCCTGTAGGGACAGGACAGGAGGAATGTCTTTAACCTGCCAGAGGGGAGACTGAGATGAGCTCTTAGGCAGAAGCTCTTCCCTGTGAGGGTGCTGAGGTGCTGGCACAGGGTGCCCAGAGAAGCTGTGGCTGCCCCATCCCTGGCAGTGTTCAAGGCCAGGTTGGACAGGGCTTGGAGCAAGCTGCTCCAGTGGAAGGTGTCCCTGCCCGTGGCAGGGGGTTGGAAGTGGATGAGCTTTAAGGTCCCTTCCAGCACTGGGCTCCGAGGCACAGCAAGACCAGAGCATCTGGAAGCAAAGATGTGTTCGGGCTGGTCCTGGGAGTGCACTTAGGGAACTTTGACCATGCTCTCCTCCCTCATCCTTCCTCGGAAAGGAGCAGCACTGGCAACCAGACCAAACATGCCCGCAGCCATGGGCAGCCACAAGCTTTGCTGCAGGGAAACGAATTTGGGCGGTTGCTGCACAGCACGTGGCTCCCCGGGCACAGCTCGTCCTGCTGAGGAAGCTCTGCAGCAGGAACAGGGGCAGCACCCAGGAGCTTGCCTCGGGGTGCCCCCCACCCCACTGTGCGGTGCGATCACAGCAGGAGCGGCTGAGCGAGTGCAAGGGCATCTGCAAGACACCTGCAGGCACCAGCGTCTCACCCAGCTGCGGGACCGGGTGCAGGAGGGAGCTGAGCATTGCGAAGCCTTTGGCACCTAAGCCCTGGGTTTGGCAGCAGCGGGAGGAAGCAGCTGTGGGGCAGGGAAGTGTTCCAGTGTGCGCGGGTGAGTCACTGCACAAACCCACCCCTGCTGCATGCTGTGAGCCCCGTGAGAGGGACAACACACACAGCTTCTCCCCAGGAGTGTGATGCAGCCCCCCCCCCGATGGCACAGGGAGGTAGGGGTCCGTTTGTTCTTGCCTTGGGAGGGATTTGGGATGTGGCCAGAAAGAGCTGATGGAGGCAAGTGCTGGCACAGACTTGCTCAAAGCAGGAGGCTGGAGACCCCTGAAGCCTCGTCACCACTACCCCGCCTAGGTTCCTGGATGGAACTGAGTCAGTGAGTTCTTAGCAGCCTTTGATCCTTGCTTGCTACTTCCCTGGAATCTGTTAAGACTCTCCTGTCTTGTCCTGTCCTGGCACAGCAAAGCCAAGCCTGGTGCTGACAGGGATGTGACAGACCCCCAGATGTGATTTTCTGCTGTCCCCTTGGAAGCTGGTAATGAATCAAGTCACTTGGGTGAGAAAAAGGAAAATATGAAGTCCCTGTTGCAATTTCCTGCTTCAGATTACAGAGCACAGCACTCAAAGAAGCAAACAGAGCTGTGGCTCCGCTGTCGTGTGGTCAGACCAACATATCTGGCTTCCCTGTCCCTAACTCCCTGGTTTTAGTTTCTCCTGATCCATGGGATTTCCTGGTCTCTCAGGAACAGGACTCTGCAGCAGGGCAGCCCAGGCAGGAAAGCACAGAGCTGAAACCCTGCTTTTGGGGTGCGGGAGACCAGTGCCATCAACTCCCTCCTGGTTTTGCTGGTGATAGAGCTTTGCCCTGGTGAGTGTGCTGGATCCATATGAAGGACACTCAGCTGGGCAGGAGGGATGAGGGCAGCGCTGTGTCCCTCAGGGGTGGCTCTCCATGGTCCTCTGCCCATGTTGGTTGCATCTCAGTGGTCCTCTCAGCTTCCTCTCACCGCTGCTCTCTCCTCTTTTCTAGGTCGTTCGACATGAGTGTGGCTGTCCTCTTTCTCCTGGGGCTGGGGCTGTTGGAGGCAGAATGCAGGTGCTTCTTCAACCGCACTCAGGAGCACTGTGTGTGCTACAGCCTGTCCCAGAAAAGCGTTGACAGCATCATCCAGTGCCTCCCAGCCTCTGTTGTGGAGTTTCGTGGGGGAGACCTGGAGAGATACGTAGCCTTCACCATCAGTGACCCAGACCCTTCTACCATTAACATGCTGGGCTCCCTGCTATTCAGGAAGATCATCTTTGGTGATCTCCTGGTGCCCGAGATACTCCTCGCCCAAGTGCTGAGGTTCTTCTCCTACACCCACGTCCAGGAGCTGGTGTTTGACAGCTGTGTGTTTGAGGGCAGAGGCAATTGGGACAGAATGGCCGGCCAGGACTTGCCCATTTTGTCCCTGCGCTTCCACAACGTGAGCTCTGCTGCACTGATGGGCCACGAGCAGGACTTCTCCAGCCTGAGCAGCTTCCTTGGGGCCCTGCAGGAGCTGTCCCTCACCACCTCCCGCCTCACCAGCCTGCCCTGTGCCATCGGGAGGCTCTTCACAACCCTGCGCTCCCTGGACATGGCACAGAACAGCCTTGGGGATGAGAGCCTGATGTCTGCTTTCTGCAGTGGGGCTTTCCCTCATCTCCTGGTGCTGAGTCTGCAGCGCAACAACCTGACATCCTACCACAGAGTGTGTGAGGGCGTGCAGCTGCTGCGGGAGCTCCAGCATCTCGACCTCAGCCAGAACAAGCTCACAGCAGACCCGTCCTCCTCCTGCCAGTGGCCGCAGTCCCTCCGCAGCTTTAACTTGTCTGACACTGGCTTGGAAGAGGTCCTCACACCTCTGCCCCCCAGCCTGGAAGTGCTGGACATGAGCTGCAACCACCTCCACGCTGTAGACATCTCCCTCGGCTCCTTGAAGAAGCTCTTCCTGAGCCAAAACATGCTGGAGGCTGCGCCCTCCATCAGGAATTACCCCTTGTTGGACACCCTGCACCTGGACAACAACTCCATCACGGAGCTGCCGTGGGATGAGATGAAGAACCTGCAGGACGTGGCCGCAGCCGACAACCCCTACATGTGCTCATGCTCCGAGGCGGGGGGGCTGCAGGCACTGGCGGCCATGGGGCAGCTGGGGCAGGGCTGGCCCCAGCACTACATGTGCCACGCTCCGCCTCGCTACCGGGGCAGGCTGGTGGAGGACGTGCCGGTCTCGGTGCTGCAGTGTAACAGTGCTGCTGTGGTTGTCCCCATCTGCATCGTCCTGGTCCTGATCGCCGTGGCTGGAGCTGTCTCCTTGGTCAGATCCAGACCTGGGCTCATCCGATCCTGCCCCAGAGTGTGAAGGGGACCTGTGACTATCCCCATGGAGGCTGCAAGGCCAGGAGCTCTGTGGGAAGACTCACAGGTCCCCCAGGTGCAGGTAAAGGGCTCTGTGTCCCTGGTTGTCGTGGTTTAAGCCCAGCCAGCAACTAAACACCACACAGCCACTCACCCCCTGCCTGTGGGATGGGAAAGAGAACTGGAAAATGGGTATAAAACCTGCGGGTTGAGGTGAGAAGAGTCTGATAATTGAAATAAAAATAGAATAATAATAAAACAATAACAGTAATGACAGTAATAACAATAATGCTAGCAATAGCTGGTACCCTTAATAATATCAAGGGTACTAGCTAGTAAGCTACAGTGATGATGATACTCCTACTACTAATAGGAAACAGAGAGAGGAATAACCCCCTCCCCACTGCCCCTTCTGGGCAGCTCCCCCCAGTTTATATTTCATATAAAAAGTATAAATATGTACTACCCCCCAGTTTATAGTTTATGTTGCAGTTTTATCCCACTGGGCATGCCGTGCTGTGGGATGAAATCCTTTGACTGGTTTGGGTTGGGGGTCCTGTCTCTGCTTCATCCCGGCTTCTTGTACCCCTCCTCACTGGCAGAGCATGAGAGACTGAACAGTCCTTGATCAGGGTGAGTGCTGCTGAGCAACAACTAAAACATGGGTCTGTTATCAGCATTAGTCTCGGACTTAAAGCCAGAACACAGCTCTGCACCAGCTGCTAGGAAGAAAATGAACTCTATCCCAGCCAAGGACACCAGTCCAGGCTATGGAGCAGGATGGCCCGCAGAATTATCCCACAGTGGCTGCTGCTTGCTCCTTGTGCCTAGAAAACCTTCATGCTAGTCCAAGGTCCCTCACATCCCACCCCTGCCTTGCAAAGATGTCCCTCTTGGAGCCAGGAGTGAATGAGTCCAGGCCCTTGTTTCCCGTGCTCCTGCTGACTCCTGCTCAGCCTCCAGCCTGCACCCAACACCATTAATAATGCAGGAGAACAGGATCCCCCCGTGTAACCCCATCCCCTGCCCTGTCCGGCCACTGCTGAGCTGGCCATGGCTGCTGGGGAGGTGAGTGTCCTCGTGGGGACATCACAGGGTGGTTTGGGGGCTCAGCTGGGTGTTTGGGGCAGGACTCAGCTCATCCCCCTTTGCCCTGTGTCCCGGCAGGATGTGTGTGTGAAAGCGGCTGTGGGACTGCACAAGGCAGCAGGTAGAGCCCTGCTCATCACCTTAGGGCCTTCAGCATGAACCCCCATGCCAGGGAACCGGTGCTGGTGGGCCTGGCCTGGGCAGTGGTGATGGGGAGGGGGTGTCCTCCCTGTCCTGGTGGCTCTGAGCACTGTGGTCATGGTGGGAGGGCATGGGAACCACATGCCTGGGACCCAGCTCCAGGCAGCATTAGGAGCAGAGCTGGGGCAGGGGGTGATGTCCCCCACACCAGCCCATGTGCAGTGCTTCCAGGGGCAGGGGACAGCTGTGCAGCCAGCAGTGAGGACCCCCTGAAGCTCCTTTTTGCTGGGAAGGAGGCCCAGGTGAGAGTGGCCAGGACACCGGTAACAAGGGGACGAGGGGCCCTGGGGAAGCTGATGGGAGCAGGGGGGCTCTGTCCACTTGGGACCGTGATGGGTGCTGAGGTCTTGGCCTGATCCCTGCCCTACACCCCTATAGGCTACTCTCTTGTGGGGGGCTGTTGGAGGTTACCAGATAGCAGAGGGGGTTTCCCCCCCAAGCCTACCTGTGCTAAGCCCTCCATGCCATCTCTAGCCCAGCATGCCCAGTCCCCCTTTACCCTGCACTGGTCATACTGGGATGGGGGAAAGCTGAACATTGTCACCCTCCCTCATGCCAGGACAGCTCCTTCACTGTCGATGGTGTCTTCCGCTTGGACGCAGGACAGGTATTGTGGGCACCACGTCCTCCTGCACCCCTGTCCCCAGCCAGATGAGCAGGGACACACTGGCCCAAGCTGTTGGCTGGGGGTACTGGGCACCACTGCCACAGGTGTCACAGGAAGTGCTGGGGACCTGGCCCTTGGTCCTGTGTATGGTTCTGCTGGTGTTCCCTGCCCTGTTTCCTCTGCGGTGCTGGGATGTGGCTGTCATGCTGTCTGTGCCTTACTGCCCGTGCTGTGCTCTCTGTGGCATGCTGTGCACCACTGTGCCATACCATCCGTGCTGTGCCATGCATACTGCCATCTGCACCATGCCATCCATACCAGGCTACCTGTGCTGTGCTACCCATGCACCCCATCTCTGTTGTGCTGCCCAATCCATGGCAGTGCCCTCTGTGCTGGGCCATCTGCACCGTGGTGTCCATGCTGTGCCATGCTAGCTGTGCCATGCTGTGCCGTGCTGGCTGTGCCACGCCATCCCGGCGTTACTGGCTATGTCTGTCTTACAGGAGAAGGTTCTGGAGCTGGCAAGACCCCAGCTGGCCCTGGTTCCCCTTGGCTACAGCATGACCCTGCTGCTGTGGGACCCACACGGCCCTGGGCCCCAGCTGCCCTGCCAGAGCATCGTTTGGCAGGTGAGGGCACAGGGAGAGGTGACAGGGAGAGGTGACAGCTCCTGGCTCAACCCACTGACCCCAGTCCTGCTGCTGTGGGGTGTGACCCAGCCATGGGTGCCAAGAACCAGAGGCTCCCAGCTTGACCAGCTTGTCCCCAGGTCATCACCACCATCTTCCAAGAACTGGAGGCCCTGGGGGGTGATGCACGGAGCCTGCAAACTGTCAGCCTGGTCCAGGTAGGGCAGGAGCAGGGTGTGGTGGGCTGAGGGTTCCATTCCCTCTCTGCCGGTGGTCAGACCTTGCTGTGCCAAGGGACATACATTGCCCCAGTGCTGGCACGCAGTGCCCTGTGCCAGAGGGTGACCAAAGCCTGCAGACCTTCGGATCCTGAGATCTCTCCCTTCTCAGCCCTTACCTTTGCATGGCCATGAGCAGGCTGCGTCCCTGGGGAGTGCTAGCACTCCCCTCTTTGCCCCCCTCTGCCTAACGCAGCCCCATTCCAGGTCTGCAGCCATGACAAAGCCTGGGACCTGCTTCATCCCGATGGCCGAGCCCTGCAAATGATGGATGTTGCCCCCCTGGGCCTGTAGGTACCTGATACCCCGTGGTCAGGCAGGTGCTCCTGGGAAGTGGTACCCAACATTGAGCACATGGGCTAAGCGGGGAGCATGGTGCCCAGCAGAGGATGGCCAGGGGCATCCCTCAGGGAGCACACAGGAGATGGATGGACAAGGCCATCACTCACTGTGTTCTCCCTCTGCTTCCAGGATGGTGGAGGAGGCAATGGAAGTCGCAGTGTGCAATGCCCAAGCTGCCATCAGTGTGTATGCCTCGGGGCTGGGAGCCATCCCAGCACTGTTCCAGGGGTGTGCACAGCAGCTCCCTGCAGGAGAGTGCTCGGCCACACAGGGGTGAGGGATTGGGCAGATATCCCATGGGGAAGGGAAGGGTTTGGGCCATGACCGTGGGCGCTGCTGTGCTCTGCTCTCTAGAGATGCTCTCCCTAGAGCCGGCAGCCTCTTCACTCTCACTGTGGAGCGGGAGCTGGAGGGAGGCAGGCACCAGCGCTCGGCCCTCAGGATCCTGGCATCTCCTGGGACCACTGGGCCCTGCTCCAGGCTGTACGTACTGGAGCTACAGCTCTGTGCTGGGCTAAGCCATGTCCCCTACCCCAGCACCCCTGCGGTGCTGCTGTGGGTCAGGGGGGATTTGGTACCCCCTTGGAGCAGGAGAGACCCCAACACCCCAGCGGGAGCACCTGGCTGGGAGCCAAGGGGGTGCCATCACCCCTGGGGACATGGGCTTGCTTCCAGCATGGCTCCCATGGGTCAGGGCTCAGCCTTCCCAGCCCCATCCCTCTCCTAGGGTGCCCCTTGTCCCACATGCAGGGAACCGGGCACTGGCCACCCTCTGCCTGACACTGGCTGCCTGCCCTGGGTCGTGGAGCAGTTGCTGGAGGGGAACAGCCTGACGTTCCTGCTGCTGTGTGTGACGCTGCCAGGTACCCCCTGGGATTGGGATGCCGCTTTGGGGTATCCCCACCCTGCAGTTTCCCCCATCTCACCCCACTCCCGGCACTTGGTCCCAGACTGCAGTGGTTGGAGGCTGGAAACCAGCTCCACCTACCCCCATCCTGACCCTGTGCCAGGCAGTGGGAGGTGCTGCTGGGTCCCCGTGGTCCCTGCTCAGGGCTTGCTGCTGTCCCAGCCACCTCCAGAGAAGAGGTCCTGGAGGCCCTGGGGCTGGCCGAGCGCGTGAAGGGGCTGGCCAGGAGGATCTCAGCCACGCTCTGGGACCCTGTGCAAGAGATCACAGCACGTCGGAGGCTGATCCGAGGGCTGCGCCTGGAGCTGCTGGCTGGAGCTGCAGTCCCTGAGCAGGAGGTGGCCCTGGCCCAGCTGCGGAAAGCCCTGCGGGAGCTGCGGGTGAGAAAACGCCCCTGGCCACCACATGGGACCAGGATGAGGGCTGATGTCCATCCTGGTGTCAACACTATTGGCCAGCACTGAGGGCAGGGGCTGAGGGCTCCCTGCTGGGGATTGAGGCAGCTGGGGTAAGATGTATCCCTGGAGGTCTCCAGCACCCCAGCAAGGACCCCCTTTTCCAGGTGCTGAAGAGCCAAAGGTGGGAGAAGAAGCAGGGAACAGCCGAGATGCTCAGGACAAGTGAGATGCATCAAACCACTACAAAGATGGGCACTGGTCAGGACATTACCCCCTCATCCAGGGATAAGCCAGGTGCAGGAGAAGCCCTGAGTCCTGGTTGCATCCCTGTAACACCTCCTGTTCCCACAGACCAGGTCCCTGCAAGGAATACAGCACCAGACCAGCAGTCTGGGACCCATGTGTCCCTGACTGGTATTAGCCTGGGGGCAGCAGGTCTGGAGTGTGGGGACAGGCAGGCACCCCACGCCTTGGTGGCTGATCTGTGGGCAGGAAGCATCGCTTCACATGGTGGAAAAAGGCTGGACGAGGGCTCAGTCTCTCTTCAGTCACACCACGTCGTGCTCATTCTCCTTCCCTCTCCCCACCCAGCACAGGGTGCCAGTGAGAGCAGCCAGGGAGGGGACAGCCAAGCCGTGGTGAGCACAGAGCAGAGACTGCTGGAGGAGCCCGCACCAAGCGAAGCACCAAATCTCCTGACGAGGGGTGACACAGTGAGTGCTGGGTCCTTGAGTGACCAGGGCCTGCAGTCCTCTGCTCTGGCAGCACTGGGTGTTCTGGGTGCTGTCTGAGCCTGCTCTGCCCTGTCAGGCCATG